ATAAAATACCTAGCATCTCAGAAGTCTTGGTAATATATTTAGATGAAGCTTTGACCTAAAAAGCAAAAGGCAGGCAACTTCAACTTAAACATACATCCCCAAATGTGCCCCCTCCTCTAACACAAAGGAAAGACCACCTCATGCAAGTGACATGAGTAGTCAGACCCCCTCTGAACTGTATATCCTTCTTTCAAACAAAACTCCAAACATTTCCAAGGTAAACAAGTATGGTAACATAAAACACTAGATGAAGAATAATAGATAAATCTTGCTTTGGAGCTCACTTGAGCTGAAAGTTTTAAAACCTCTTAAAACAAGTCCTGTGAACTTTAATTGGATGTTATGATAGAGATGAGATGACTTGAAAATATTTGTTTAAGAAGGCAAATTTTAACATAATAAATTTTCTCTTAATATTTATTATTATACATAATTTAGAAATTAGCTAACTAAAATTTATATTAGTATATCACTACTTTATAGGAGAAAAAATGTGTTTTCCACTAGAAGTTCAGAGAAGTTAGCCTACGTCTTCTCAGCACAATTATTATGTATTGAGAAGTTGGAGCAATCATCCCCATTCCTCTAAGACTCCTTGTGGCTATTTATTTTAATTTTTCTGTGTTTATATTGACACCATTCAGGCAGCCACATCCTTCTGGAATAACATTATAATCTTACTTTTTTAGGCACCCTCACAGTGTGATGATTTTAACTCTTGTTCATCTAACAATTTTATTCAACACAAAATTCACTTCAAAATTCATAAACTTTTAATGGCTGTTTCCACCTTCACAAAAGCTGTTGTTTTCCCCTCTCACTGTTATCTGAAGCTGACAAGCCCTTCATGTAGTCAGCTAGAATTTACATACTCTTAATGATTTACCAATCTATAGTGTTAATCTATTCTTTTGTAATATTAATAAGTGTGCAGGTTAATTTGAAATTTCAGAAGTAAAAAAAAAAAAGGTTGTAAAGACCTTTAAAATTTTTTCAGCCTTGAAAGTAAAGATTGATACCATACGTAAGAGCATCCAGCTATCTGAACCACTGCCATCTCAAACAAGCTGCAATTTCCCCCTTGAACTTGCTCTTGGCATAGACTTAATACAGTGGTACATATGACATTAAGTGCCTTATCCATCTGGAACTTCTTATGGGCAAAGCTAAATTAACTGAGTGAAGACAAACCTAGAGCTCTCAGAGACAAATCTTTAGTATGAAATTCAATAATATATATGCTTAATTTAGGTTGAAGTAGTTTCTGCTAAAAAACACAACCAAAGTTAGAAGGAAAAAGACAAACACCTCATGATTTCATTTAGGTGGAGTATAAAGAAACAAAACCAAGGAACAGACAAAAGTAAACTGAAACAAACCCTAGAACTTTGACCACAGAACTGAGGCTACCAGAAGGGGAGAGTGGGGGTGATGAATAAAGGGGAGAGGGAGCTCAATGGGCTAAGGTGGAGGGTAACAGATGTTTTGGTGGTGAAGTTGATGTGGCAACATATATTTGAAGAAGTGTAAACCTATACTCCTGAATTATACAGTGCTGTAAACCAATGTCTATCTCAATTAAAAAATGCAATTAAAATATCATTTCAAATTATTTCATGGGAGGCATGAAGAACTGGAGAGAGAAGAAATAGTTTCTCACAGTAGTTGGCACATTATTTAATTCATTTGCAATAAAAGACCAACATAGACTACAAATAATGTTGTCTCTTTTCTAATAAAAAGTAATAAAAGAAGATAACTGTATACCATTTGGTAAGAGAAGTTTACCAACAGTTGCATTAATGGAGTTTCTCAATGACAACCTTGCAGAAATAAGTGAATATTGTAGAAAAAGGTTTACATGTAGGCCTGTCTTTATTTCACCAACCAGAGTTATAAGTAAACACAATGAACAATGCTCCCATATCAGAAATTGGAAAAATGGAGCACTGCTTGCTTTCTGTGAACCTTAGGAAAAGGACGGGAGGAGGCAAAGGAAGGATTCTGCTCAGTGTCATCCTAGTCAGAGCTTTTTCCTCAGCATCCAGCACTGACAGTTGGGAATAAAGGAGTTTCTATTTTATGTTTGTCTACATTTCCCTCCCTGCTTCCCTCCCCATCCCAACTTCAAAAGACCATGCTTTCCTGCACCATTCTGCTCTCCCATTCTGAGCAGGTGCCTTATTTTGGCCATTGTGTATTTCTTTTTTTAAATCTTGATAGGACTATTTATCATGTCCTGGGGCATATTTTGACCACATTTTTCCATAGGGTTTGTATTGTCAGGTGAGTTTACCCAGACGTGAGCTGATTTCAGTTCTCTTGAGACAAATGAAACTTAGATTGATTCAGTCATTTAATTTGTTTTTTTGGTGCATCTTTATGTTTTTGCTGGATATGGAAATGCCATCTGCTGGGAGGCTGTTTTCTTCTTCAAATCCCTGTAGAATGAGTGGTTCACCCTTCTCCTCACTTTTTTCTAGCTTCCTAGGTAGCCTGGCATAAATTTACTGAATGTATTTTTCCAATATTTGAAAGTCAAATGGGGACATTTCTTTTATACATTTACAGTATCATAATTTATAGTCTATTTTTCTAACTCACCATAAGTGGAAAAATAAATGTTATCTCCTGTAGTATTTTAGTGAAGTCCTAACAACTGGAGTCTAAATGTACTTAACAAAACAGTCATTTTTAATTTCACATAACATCAGTATTTGATGATTGCCAAGTAAGTGATTGCCAAATGACAGAATTTTATCTGTGATTTTAATTTGTCCCTTCAACTGCTTCTCAGCCACTCAGTAAAAGTTCTCACAATGTAACATTTTCATCACTGAGCCACGATGGAAGTTCCCATCCATTTCTTATACTTTGTGAGACACATGTTTTGGCTCATCCTCATAGAATACTCCATCATGCTAATTTGGGAAAATGACATAATAGTTACATTCCAAATTTGTACACTTTGGCTTTGCTGCTATAGGTTTATTATCAGTGCTATCACCATGTAGTATCATGTAGTGAAGATTTAAAAAGGTTCTGATATTCAAGATTAAGAGAACAGGTGAATCAGAGGTGAAAGCTGAACTCTTTCCTATCAGTTCAGGGATCTGGTTGGATGTGATGCTAACCTCTGATGAAGGCAGGGAAAACTTCCTACTGAATACAATCCAACAGACCCACCTTCACTGCAAACCCAAATACCAGAATGGAAAAACTGATCTAATATTTTGCAAGATAGGCTGCAGCATTTCCACTGGGACCTGTATAGAACAGAAATGGTTATTGGCTCTGAATATTTCAGAATATTCGGCGTCTTTATTTCAAAGTAAAGTTTAATCCCTGGTTTCAAGAAATTCCCACTCTTACTAGAATACATTGACATTTTCCTGAACCTACATCCCACTCTTTTCTGTTATTTATAAGAAAGTCTAGAAGATTCAGTAGATGCATATTTTTCCTTCTTCTTTTTCATGTTTTATATGGTAATTTTGATCTAAACTTTTACTTGCTACATATAACACTTTCACTGTCAAATAAAATTTTTCATTAAAAATTATTACCATGGTACTTCATATTTTATAGTTTGGAGAAAAAAAATCTAGTCATAGACCACACAGCTCAAGAAGCAGTTTTGAATTGTTATTATTCTAAGTAAAGACTTTCCATTCTAACACCTCAGGCTTTTTCCTTTCAGCTTAGAAATCATTAGCCACTCTCACTTTCACCTTCATCATCACTCTCACTACTCAGGCCCCAATTCCCACTGCAGGATCTATTCTTCCCAATCACCTTATACTCTACATGCATCACGCATTGAACTGAAAGACATTAGGGACTTTGTGAGACATTAGGGACTCACTGAGCTGAAAGACATTAATGACACTCTTGTCATTACAACTTGTAAAAAAACTAAGCCAATATAGAACTCATTTGCAAGATACTTGGTAACACTGGAATCCAACAAACTCTTTAAACATGGGGTTAATGTTAATATTGTTGATATTATCACCATACTTGTTAGGATGATGCAAAAATTATATTATGAAACTAAAATATAAAGATATTAGGCTCATTTGTTTTTGAATTTTCTTAAAATGTATCACTTTTTAAAAAATGAATCACTTTTTATTGAGGTAATGTTCATTTACAACACTGTATATGATTTATAGGAATGGGCTACACCTCCTGAGATGTATGTTACCATACCACACCCTCCACCATGGCACCTATAATCCTCCACCACAGGTCACTGGCCCCTTTTTCTAGTACTCCCCACATTCATATTTCTAGGGTCTGTTTTGGCTTTCTTTAGCCAATTCCTTTGTTTCTTTATATTCCACATAAGTGAAACCCTCTTGTATTTGTCTTTCTCCTTCTGACTTATTTTACTTAATCCCCTTCAGTTCTGTTCATGTTGTCAAAAATGGCAAGATTTCATCATTTTTGAAAATAAGTAGTTTTCCATTGTATATATATACAACTCTTAATCCACTCATCTCTCCTTGGGCATTTAGGTTTGCATACCTTGGTTAATGTAAATAGTGCTGCAATGAACATAAGCGTGTATACATCCCTTCAAGCTAGTGTTTTTGTATTATTTTAATACCTAGAAGTGGAATTGCTGGATCATATGGTATATCTACTTTTAATATTTTGAGGACTGCCATACTGTTTTCCATGGGTGTCAATCAATCTACATACCCATTGACAGTATATAAGAGATTCATTTAATCCTCCTTCCAGCTTCAATATAAAAACAGATAAAATCTGTTTGGTCAATGGGCCAAATCCTATATTGCTTATCAGGTAAGATTATATAAATACCTAGAGAAGATGAAGAAAACACATTTAATTCTTCATACATTTCTTCCATTTCCTTTCTCAACATGGATTTATGTGCATCTCTATACTTGCATGACCCTGACCACAAAGGGTATGCTTCAGCATTAGCAAAACCACTCCTCACACCTACCCTCCATGCTTGCAGGACTTACTTGTTGCTGAGGCAGCGTCTCAGTGAGTAGGAGGCGCCACCACCGCAGGTGCGTGAACACTCGCTCCAGGTGCCCCACGCATCCCATAGGCCGTCCCGTTCTTCCTCTGAGCGCGCTGTCCTGGAGCTCTGGGAGAAAGGAGAGGATGGTCACCATCATGTCCTCACAGACCCAAAACATATGATCTAAAATATGGCTGGTTTATGTGTCTGTACATCACACCTTTGCTGGGAGAAAGCACACTCCAATTTTCTATTTGTTCCAATTTAGTAATGTCTATATATTTGGGAGAGGGATATTTGAATTTAAAGACCCTGGACTATAACTGAAGGTGACAAGAGATTGCACAAAGGGAGCAAATGGAGGAAGGTTCCAGAAGTAGAAATCTGGGTTAAAGAGAAATTGCGCTGAAATTATAATTTTGCCCAGAATTTGCTGCTCTCAGAGATGTTTCCACTCTGAGATGCTTGACATGTGCATATCAGTCCTACTTTCCAAAATGTAACGTTTTATACTAGATATATTTTTTGTGAAGCAATGTCATTTCCAGTTTTCAAATTCATTAATTAGAAAACCTACATGAAATAGCTTGAATAATGTAGGAATTGGTTTTAGCAAGCAAATGTACATGTTATTGACAGGTTTCCTAATAAAATCTGCATTTATTGCAGGATATTTGCTATGTACAGGTCTCCATGTTGTGCTTCTCATTTCTTACATAGATGAGTCAAAGATTAAATGTGTGCCATAGTTAACAGGCTAGGCTTTATTGTTTCAAATGGCCAGCATTTGAATATAGATTCCATTTTTTAATAACTGTGTCCTTGAACAAGCAGTGTATGACTTTTTGATTCCTGTTTTCCTTTCTATAAAATGGGAAAATATCAAACATACCAATATACACACATATACTATAGGCAGATTAGCTACACTAACAAATGTTACCGATAATCATATTATAAAAATTGAGACTGTGTCACATATGCATATACACAGTTGTATTAGACTGCTCAAATTGCCATAATGAAATTACCATAAACTGGGTGACTTAAATAATAGAAATTTATTTTCTCACAATTTTGGAGTCTAAAAATCTGAGACCAGGATGCTAGCTAGCATGGTCAACTCCTCATTAGAGCTTTCCCTTTGGATTTCAGGTGAGAACCTTCTCATTGTAGGCTCACTTTGTGAGCCCTCCATTTTGTGTTAACATGGAGAGAGCCAGAAAGGGCATTAATCCCATCATGAGGGCTACAGCCTCATGACCTCATCTAAATCTAATTATCTCCCCAAAGTCCACCTCCAAATATTTCATATATGAATGGGGGGAGGACACAATTCAGTCCACAGCAAAAACTCTATAAACAGCTAAGGTGATTTACAGCCAAATTATTTTACTGAATAAACTAAAAATGGTATCTCAATATTAACAGTGCTATCTTCTTATGTCAATCAAATACACATACATGACAAAAGTTAGCCTTCAAAACAATTTATATTTGGAAAAAGATACTGTAAAGATCATGTGAGGGGCCTCCCTGGTGGCACAGCGCTTGAGCCACTGGGCTGCAAAGCTGCCCACAGCCTCTGCAGCGCCGGTTCAATCCCTGGCCACCGACCAGGGTCCCACATGGCATGCAGACCCCTCCTACCATACCTGCTGCTCCCCTCAGCAGTGTACTTCGTCAGTCTGCCTGTTCTGTTCCCCTCTCTGGCTCTGGTGAATTCTCTCACTCTCTCGCACTTCTGACTGTACCCAGTGATTTTATAAATAAATAAATAAATCTTTAAAAAAAAGATGTGAGGCATTCTGGTAACTTCATCTTTGGTATTTTTCTCTGGAGAGCAGTCTTTGGTCATGCCAATCTGAAAGTGCCCCATCTCATCTACTCTAACAAGCTAAGCAGGATTGGCACTTTGATGGAATATAGGGAGAGCATGGGATATGGAGGCAATGGGGGTGGGTAACCTCTTATAAAACATTGTGAGAATTTGAGATGATATAAGTAATGTGATTAGCATATAGTAGAATCTATAAATGGAAACTTATTAAGAGTATAAACCTAGTTATAGTCAAGGTTATAGCATCCAAGAAGGACAGGTCACTGGGAAAGAAACAACCATCTTCCTGCCCCCAGAAAATTGTTTTACAGTAATGGGATTACAAGAATCAATTAGTATAGGACTCAGCTGTTAAACTGACTACTTATTGGAATTATTAAAGCCTGTTCAAGTCAAGTCATAAGACCAGCTTCCAAGTATTATATCAAGGATTGTGTGCTGGTGCATGCTTTATTAAGATTCCGAAATCCCTAAATCATTTCAAAGGAGTAGGAGAGGTCATGGTTAAGTGCAGGTAGTGGCAGACCTACATGGCCTGGGATGAAATAGTGGCTTCATAGTTTCCTAGCTACAACCTCTTTATGCTTCAGTTTCTTATCAAAGAGATCTAGGTCAGTAAGTCATTGTGAGGATTAAAATAGTTACTATATAAAAATAAAATTAAAAAAATAAAATTAAAAAATAAAAAAATAAAATGTCTATCTTAAATAGGAAAAAAATAGTTACTATATAAAAAACACATAAGGTGGAACAACCCAATTACCAAGGGTGGATGAATGGATAAACAAAATGTGGTCCTTACATACGTGGAATATTACTCAGTCTTACCAAAGGAAGACAATTGTGATGCTACAACATGGACAAACCTTGAGGACATTATGCTAATTAAAATAAAGCTAGGCCACAAAAGTATTTTTGTATGATTATGATTACTGTATGATTATTGTATGATTCCCCTTAGAGGAGGCACCGAGAACAGTCAAATCATGCTTGTTGCCAGACACCGAGGAAAAGAGGAATGAGCAGTTAATCCTTAACAGAGAGTGTTTCGCAGAGGAAGATGAAAAAAATATTCTGGAAATAGATTATGGTGATGGTGGCACAACAGTCTGTATTCAATGCCACTGAACAGTACACTTTAATGATAAAAAATGTAAATTTTATGTCATATAGATTTTACCACAATGAAACTATATACGTATACACATTTTAAAAAGCGAATAGGACATAAGTAAACAAAACAAAAGCATTTTCTATTATTAACATTATCACTGGGAAGTTACCAGTGAGTTTTTCCGCTGAATTTGGTTGAGACACTACACTCTTAAGGTTCTCATAGCAGAATCTCCCAGCCACTTGGCACATTTCCTTTGATTAGAGATGTGATCTGCCAGTAATTTGAGGTTCCTATAAAAGATGAAACAGAATGGATAACAGAAACATCTTGGCTACCCTAAAGTCTGTCCTTTCTAAAGGATGCATTTATTGTGCTCCAAAGTCTGGCTTTTTAAGATTAATAAAATCATTCTCTAATTATGGAAATATAGGAGTACCCAGTTTCTGGGGCTTAATAGTGAGGGAGAAAGACACTTTGACATGGATGTAGACACATCAAATGTTTTGTCTACACACCCATTAAATTCACTCCTCAGATTTACTGTGCATCTCCTGACTTCCTTTTACTTTGTCCTGTGTCACTGAAAGATGATTTTGTTGAGAGCACTGCAATATTTGCCTCATGCAGTAACTATGTGAGAATGGTACATTTATACAAAGCAATTTCCTTTTATTTTATTCAAATTAAGTATGACTGAGAAGAAAACCAACATCACAAATGCTAAAATGAAGTGAATTCTGTTTTCATGTGTGATAAGAACAGCAGAAAGCTTAGGCTGTTTCTCTCTGGTTATTTTCTGGATAATGCATTTAAGAAATAATGATGGATGGCTTAGATTTTGTTTTTCTAGAGCGGCAATTTGTTTCAAACTCTGTTAAAGTTGTTTGATATCTTTCCTATGCCTTGTCTCAAGAGGCACTAAAATGCCTTAAAAGTGAGGTTTCACTGACAAACATCTCACATCATTACAAGTCTCAGCACAGCTAGACACATTAAGTGCCACAAAAGCAAGTCATGGACTTATTTCTCAAACTGGAATAAACTCCAAGTTTCCTTTTAAAAAGTGGAACAAACAATTCATTTCAATTGAATACATGTTTAATGTTCAAGAAAGTAAAGTGATTTTCCTCCTTTTGAGCCAGATTTTTATATCTTATAGCAGAAATGACATTTAAGGAATGGCTTTCAGGAATTTTAAAAAGAGAGGTATTTACTTATTACAAGGCCTTCAATATATACCACTTTTGCACCTGGTTCAGGTAGGACTTGTGTTCATTTCTCTCTTCTGAATGTGTGTTTCTTTACACAGCAACATTATTTTAAATTGCACACTTTGAATTGAATTTAGTAAGGGAAAATAAGGCAGAGGGAAAAAAATAAAGGATAATGGGTCACCTAAAAGCAATACTGGTTGCTTCTGAAACCAAATTTGATTTCCATCAATGATCAATAAAATAAATGTAACATTTTAATCTCAATGTTTCAAAATAAAGTCATTGATGTTATAAAAAACACAGTGATCAAGAAATATTCCTGATTTTACTGCTGGAAATTTCAGCAACAGTGTCAGATGATATGATAGACTTTATGAATTGACAGAGAACTAAACAGCAACCACTGTATTCTGTGTGTAAAGTCATTATTTTACCAGTAGGAGATTTCAGGTCAAACTATATCTAATATTGAACTTGAGGGAAAATTCCAATATAAATCCCATGCTTTCTAGTCATTGTAAAGGTTAGCAAAAACAATTGGCACTACTTTGGAGTCAGTGTTTCAGAAATCTAGTGAAGAGAGGCCCAGGTCTTTGTTCTACAATCGCATGAAAATTGAATACTTTCCTTATGGTATTTAATTTAGAAAAAGTCTAGCTACTTCCAGATCTTTGGTGCCACGTAATGATGCTTGAATGTAGCACTGATGACTCCTAAATCCACTGTTTTCTTGTTTAAAAACTGATCAGTCAATACCCCCTGTTCCATCCATTGCTCCTGATCAGTTAAGAAGCCCTATGTCCCAGTGAAAGCCAACTTCATGGATATATATATTGTGGCAAATGATCATTTTATACCACCTCAGAATAACAGGGGGCTTGAAGAGACTTTCTAGATCCAGCAACCTCAGAATGGTGTCACTTTCTCACCATTACTGGTTTATCTAAATGTGGTT